CGTTAATCGAATATTTTGATGGATCGAAACGATACAAGTTTGTTCGGGCCACGTTGCAACAGCTTCGCCGAGTGTTTGCCCGATGGTTTTGTCCGACAATGGAAATTCGCCGGGATTATACATATGAGCAACTTTGATTGCTTGTGAAAGATTAGCTTTCGTTTGGATGTTAGACTTGCGATGTTGACATCGTTCTGCAATTGCAATTAATCGCAATGTAAGTCTATACACGATCGTTTTTCAAATCATACATATCTTTGAATTTTAGATTCTATATCTTTTCTTTTATAGTTTCTTTTATTAAATTTTTATGTAACTAATCTTCGTATTAAGATAATAGCCATTAAAATAACGGTACAGACGTTTTAAAAATAACAATATATGAATTATATTGGCGCATTCTTCAGTATAATGAGATGATGAGATAAAATAGTAAACATATGATAATAGAACAAACTTTATAGTTGTTGCATCTTTATTTGTTCTATTGATTTATTCACTTACCTTCAAAATTAGTGTGTAATATAGAAAAACATCGTAAATAGCTGTGACAATTTACAATTCTAAACATAATAGATCGTGAAATCGAGTTACACAGAGAAAGCATCTTTCCAATGAAGTAGTTGTATCGCGTAAACAAGTACAAAACCCTGCAGCTGTGTACTGAAACAGAAAAAAATTTATTGTTATCATGTTTTATCTTGTTAACGAAAAAATAATCTATATTTATAATTAGTTTTATCTCTTTTTTAATATTAGACATATGTGAAGTCTTATATGAAATCTTATATGAAATCTTATATGAAATCTTATATTATTTAGATTAATTAGATTAATTATCATGCGAAAGAAGGAGACAGAGAGGAAAGAGAGAGAGAGAGAGAGAGTGAGAGAGAGAGAGGGGGGAAGAGAGAGAGAGAAAGCATTTTTGGATAATATAACGTATCAATATCTTAAAATGACGATGACATAAATCTACAAATTTTGAAATTTTAGTTTTATTATTAATTCTTTTATTATTAAAGCTAATTAAATATTTTACAAATTTTGAATATAGCTTATAATTCCTTTTTTATTAAAGCTAATTATATATTCTTAAACGTCGAATACATATATAAGTGTTTAGTAGGCAATATGATAAAGAAAATTACCGTTAAATTAAAATATCTAAAATAATCGTTGATAATAACCGTTGATATGACCGTAATGATGTGTTGTTTACGACTGAGGAGAGAACATAGCGCAAAGGGGATGACTTCCCACACGGAAACATTTATCCAACAGACTATCTAATAAATGTCTAAATGTCTACATGAGGTCCATATCCTCTATAAATAACTAGTAGATACACAGAAAAAAAATAAGTGTCAAATCAAAATTTATATACTTAAATTAACGCATTCATTGTTTCGTATATACGCAACAATCTATAATCTTCTTAGAAGAATTTAATAATTTTAAATTTCAACAATATTATAGCGTTATTTCAACCTTCCAAAAAAACCTTACAAAAGTAAAAAAAATACGCCAAGTACATAAAAAATATTCCACCTTGTATGCAACAAAACGTTTAATAAAAAAGATCCTTATAATAAATAATTTATAAAAATTTTCCCTTAAAAAATATATATAATAATTTTCCTAAATATATAATTTTCCTAAAAAAAATCAAAACTAAATATGAAATCAATGATTAATTAGCCAAGTACATTGAAGCAATTGATAGGAATTTGTAATTTGAAATATTTGTCATAAATTCAATCTTGCATTTATATATTAGATTCTCGACAAAATAAAAATAATTTTCAAAATAAGTTCGAAGTAAATTTCGAACTAAAAAAATTAAGACCATAACAACTTACAAAAACTTGGCGTGCTCGGGTCACATTATACATGCATATAATTTTACAAAGTTTGCGAATTATATACCTGTAATTAATTTCAATTATAGAAATATGTGAATTATAATAGGACCCGAGCACGCCAAGTTATTGTAAGTAGTTTTGGTCTTAATTTTTTTGGTTCGAAATTTACTTCGATATATATATATATATATATATATATATATATATATATATAATTATTATTATAGATATAAAAAATATTTCTGTGTAACTATGTTTGTGTCTACGCAGGCAAACGTAATAAATGTCTATGTAACTATAATTATGATTGCGCAGTAAAATATGTAAATTTCTACACACACACAAACACACACACACACACACACACACACACACACACACATATATATATAATTATAAATTATACAAATATATTCCACAAAATGGTAACTGTCTATTCTCTTTATTAATATAATATGTCAAAATATATTATGTCTAATCTAAATAGAAATGAGAAAAATTTTACAATATTTACCTTTTGATTGATAAATCACAGTTTACTTGGCGATCGTTAAGTGTCACAAATCTGGGTTTTTTTTTTACTAATCAATGCATTCGGTGTTGCAACGCTACTGTGTCGCTTGATAATAATTTTTAATAATATGTCACTTGTCTTCTATCTTTTTAAACAAGTAACGTTTCTTTAAACAGTTTAACGTGTCACTTCTTTTCCTTACACTATTCCGCACTATACTTTAATAAATGTATCTTTTATATGTACGTACATATACATATACATATCACACGTATGTGCGCACACATGTACGTACACATACATATACATATCACACGTATGTGCGCACATGCGCACATATGATTTTGTCACTTAAAGCATTGTACATATCGAAGCAATAATCGTATACGCAGCGATGTGAACGCCGCTTGAGGGACAAATTCGCTTTGCGTGTGTGCGTGCGAGCATATACACGTGAGACTACTGGAAATGAAGGAAAACGAAAAATGTCACAATTCTGATATTCGATCATCATTTCTCAGGATTGACTGCATCGATTTTGTTCAAACAAGTCGCAATCGAAAGCATATATTCACATTTTATAATAAAAGTGTCGTTAGATTTTTGATTACGGCTTTAGTTTATTAAATATCTTAACCGAAAGTTTACCTGACGCGAAATTCCGGATAAGGTACTTGGTGGCGCCGCGTCGGGAGCAATGACTCTCAACTCAATACGTGGAACTTAATGCTTGGACTTGTTTTTTATGTACTTGGCGTCGCGACGCTACCACGTCGCTTGATATTATAGTTGTCATCTCAAAAAAATATAATTATTTAATTCTACTTTAAGAAAATTACAATCTTTGATTTAAAAATATTATTTCCTATTTAACATTGTTTCAACATTCTTTCCACTGAAGAAAATTAAATCTTAAATCATAAGAATATATTTTTCTTGATTGAACTATATAAAATGGCTTCATTTAAGCAAGTAATTATTCAAGCAATTATATTTTTCTTTAATTAACGCATATATATAATATAATCCCATTTTAAGATTTCCATATTAAAACTAAAGATATTTTCGAAACAAGAATGTGCTTTTTTTATGTGCACGTATATCATCCACCTATATCCTCCAAGTAGCTACCGGATATCCACTAGATATACACATATTTCACACGTCTACATTCACACACAGAAAATACAGAACATTAAATTTTAGCACAATTTTTTAACATCTTTCAATAATTAGCCATGACAACCAAAAAATCAGTTCATCTAAGGCAGTATAAGACCGCGGCACAGGTTTAACGAGTTGTGGCTGATCGGTCAAAGAGCGCAGACTATTATAGCCGTATCTTCTCTAGCTTTTGCGAGGAACTCCAGAACTCCATAAATTAACGTCAGATGATTAATTTTTTTTTGGCGAATTCCGTCATACATGTATCCATATACAGAACATTGAACGAATATCCATCCAAAAATAAATATCAATATACATGTAATAAATGAATCTATATATATATATATATATATATATATATATATATATATATTAAAAATATCTGAATGTTGTCCGTATTTTTGCGGCATATTGGTTTATACATATCCTGTGATGTACTTATGAAACCTAGAATTGCAAACATTTGGATATTTACAACATCTGAAATGACTATTTATATTCGTGGATATCTAATACCAATTATTTTTCGTATGGGGAAAGAGAGAGAGAGAGAAAGAAGGAGAGGGAGAGAGAATAATATGAATAATATATATTATATAATATTAATATGTATAATAGTATATATAAATATAATATAATATAATATAATGAAAATATAATATAGTATTATATTTATATATAAATTATATAACTTATATAAATAATGGCATTATAATAACAATATAAATATTGTATATAATTATATAATAAACATTTTCTATATCGTTTTAATATGATTGTTGATTAAAAATAAAGCAGTCCATTGTCTAATTCTCATTCTGGAAGCTTTGTTTGTTAAGTGTTTTTCAATGATATTAAAACGATAAATAATGTTTCTTCTTAAATAAAATTGTATCTCTTTAAACAAAAAATAGAATCTTCAAATATTTTAAAGCGAAGTTTTTATTTTTCGAAACATCTTGTATTTTCGCAAGCAAATTGTGCTTTTATATGTACATATTCGATAGAGTAATTTGATTACAAAAAGTATAATTGCATCTTTTCCATGCATTGTTGAATTTAAGAAAAAATAAGATTATTGAAAAATAATTATTGTTATATTATTCAACTTTCTTTCATTTCTTTATCATTTTTTTTGCATTATTATCAACCGTTCTCCAGAAAATCATAATGGATTATTATTCTGGATCTTTTGTGTATTAGGATGTATAAAATTAGTATACATTGCCAGAATTGAAAAAATTTATTAATTATTATACAATAATAAAAATGTTATAATGCAAATAATAAAATAGACATCATAATAACTGCTTTTAATAACATTCAATAATATTATGCTTTTAATAACATTTATTTATTAAATAACATTCAATAATAATTTTATATTTAGAAAATTTTAATAACATTTTGTTTGACAAATGCAGTTATTAAAAATTAAATTTTATTACAAAATTTTCGTTAAAATCAATTATTATCACAAATTTTTTTGTCTCGTTGGTATCACGCCACTGTTCTCCAATTGTTCTTTTAAACGGAACTTCTGAATTTTTCCACTAGTGGTTTTTGGATAGTCATCTACAAAATGCACATAACGCGGTATTTTGAAATGTGCTATTTTACCTTTACAATAATCTATCAGTTCGTTCTTTGTCATTTTCGCATTGTCGCTAAGTTGAATGCACGCACATACTTCTTCTCCGTATACTTCGTCATATGCTCCTATAACTTGTGCTTGCACTATTTTAGGATGAGTCACTAAAAAATCTTCAATTTCCTATAATAAAAAATAAAATGTATAATTAATACCAGCGAAACATATTGATTATTGCTTCAGAAAATGAAATATATTGATTCTTGCTTCAGAAAAGTGGCAATCAAAATCAAATCAAAATAATGATATCGTTAATAGCAAACAAAATAAATCTATAAATTACATAAAGCCATATTTAGATAAATCATTAGATATATCTAAAGAAACGTATTTAAATGAAATCTATAAAAGAATTTGTACTTGAATTATCATTTTTTTCGAAAAGAGTTTTTATAAAATATTTTTTCATTTTTAATATATATAATAACACGCATATTACTTGGTTATAACAAATAGTGCGAATTAAATATTAATAGATAATAATGATATTTATATAATTTTACCTTAGGGAAAATATTTTCTCCTCCTCGAATAAGCATGTCTTTTAATCTTCCGATTATGTGACCATATCCGTTTTCTTGCAAGATGAATTGATCGCCAGTTTTCAACCAACCATCCTGTGTCAATGTCTTGCTTGTATTTTCTTCGTCGTTCCAATAATTTAACATGTTGCAGTATCCGCGTACCCAAAGTTCGCCAGGTTTTCCGAAGGCAACAGGCAAACCATTTAGATCGACAACCTTTTCGTCAAATACATTAACAAAATTTTAAAAGTTCTAATGTAAATTTTTAAACAAAATATTGTATCGAAATTAAAAACGATATATATACCATTGCTTCAACATGATCTCCTAAATAACCCACGGTGGTCTCAGATAAGTACTTATCCTCTCCACGTATTGATTGAAATGCTGCAGCTGTTGTTTCTGTGAGACCATATATGCTCTGTGTATATAATCGAAATTTTAATATAATAATAATCGGATTTTTCGAAGAGATCTGATCTCGGCGCGTTAAAATAGTTTTCCAAGGGTTGTAATGTTGATCGCATGATGATAAACGAAAGATGTTATAAATAGCCTTGATTGTGAACTTACCATTAAATCATTAAAACCTAATAAATCTCGTATTCGTTTGAAGAGTTCAGAAGGTGCAGGTGCACCACCGATAATCCCTGCTTGAAGACTGTCCACCGGAAGTTGCAACCGTTGTTGTGCCTCGAGTAAGTTCACCTGACAACAGAGCCAAATAAAATTCAACTTAATTAGGATAAATTAAATTTTATTATTTTTGTAAAGAAATTGGACTGAATTGCAAAAATCGAATATAATATTAATACACTAATAATAATATAATAAATTTCAAATAAATTTTAAACAATAAGCAATTGGAACGCTTTTTTCAAAATTAATATTTTTATCAATTTGAAATTTTAGCCTACATGATTTCAACAATTATTATTGCATGTTTTTATAAATCACGAATAATTACATTGTAAAAAATAAAATTGTTGTAAAATTGTTGTAAAATTGCATGAACAATAAATGTAAAATACAATAAATAATAAATAATAAGACATACAATAAATAATAAGAATGTTATACATTTATCGTATTTATTGTGGAATTTTGCGTTTATTATTTATGTAACTTTTATACAATGTATATAATGCTTTTTCACACAATATAGCGATTTTCGACTGTGCGAATTAGTTGTTAATCAATGACGTTAATCAATGACGAGTATTTATGTTGTCATATTTAAATTAAATCACACAATTTTTATATGAATGATATATATTACCATTCGTTTTCGCTTTCTACTATGTAGAATGGATATTTTTCAAACAATCTAGCTAACCTTGTCTTTCGTCCTTGCTTACCCACATAGTTGGCGTTCCATATGTTACGGCACACTTTTCTTGCGCTATCGCCTTCAACGATTTTATCGGATTAAAAGAACGTTCTTCTATAACGAGAGTGCTTCCAGTGTGCAAGATGAGTATATTGGCCATTGTTAACCCGAAAGCATGGAAGAATGGTACATTTAAACATATTTTGTTTTCGGTACTGAATTTTGCTCTGCGGGCATTCTGTCACATATAAAAATACAAAACATTTTTTTCTAAAATATTAAATTGTGATTAAATTATTAGTTGTCAAATTTCTCAGTCCAGATTAATGTTAGATATCTTGAGATTTGCAAGTTTATCGAGACATTTGAAATAAGCAGTTTATTCAAATCTAAGGACAAGTCTAAAAGAATTATTGCATTAATTCCAAGAACAAGCCAGTAAAAATTATTTATATTAAAAAGTTAATTATATTGCATGTATTAAGTAAGTTGTAAGTTAATTATATTAAAAAGTTAATTATATTGTATGTATTGTATATATTATGTTATATTGTATTCTCATAAATTTCATTTTCTTTTAAAAAAATAAAATATAATGCAAGATTTTTTTGAAATAACAAGAAACCTGTAATTTAAATTGATTTATATAAGAGCAAATTAGTATTGGAAAAATGTCGTTATCTAATTATCTCAAAATTACATGTATAGAAAATAAAATAGATTAAGAATAAGTTAGTAACATAACAAATATTTATATACATATGAATGAAGAGGTCTCGAGATGGATTTAGTAAATAGATCACAATAAAATAAACAGATAGATAGAGAGAAAGAAAAATAATTAAGAACAAAATAGTCATTCTATTCTATTTTATGAGGAAATTAACTTTGTTGACAAAGAATTTGTTAATAAAAATTATTATATTCATATTAATTAAAATTAAAAAAGGAATGCGTTATAAATAATGCTTTATGTGTAAGGATATATTATTTAAAAATCTGACACAACGAATTATAAAGTGATTAATATATCTGATATTTACTCTTATCATTTTACCTCTTTGCTGTTATTTACAATAGACCTATGCGAGAGGAGGGTGGCTTTGGACTTGCCGGTGGAACCGGATGTAAACTGTATATTGCATCCATCGTTGCAAGATATCTCAGCTTGTTCCGCAGCGATCGCATCTACTTCCGCTTTCGTCGCCGAAGCTTCAACATCAGCGAAACGATGAGTACCGCTATAAATTAAACGTACTAATATCATTTACATCGTTTCTCAATGACGTGTTGTTTACGAGCGCGAATAGATAGATGTCAGTGAAGCAATTAGTCTAATTGTGCCATGATTCTTCCATACGGCAAGGATTATTAATCAAATCGATTGATCGGTGAAAGTTGGAGAACTATAGTACTGGCTAAATGCGCGGAATCCACGGAATAAAAAAAGTATATAATGAAAATGCGTACACAGTTTCGATGAGAGTGCTTGTGTGATTGCTGATTAACATTCATCTCGACATCGAAACTATGTTTCGCTTTACTCCGTCTCACCCTTTTTAGCATTTTAAAGTCGTTTCATTCTTCATTTTTTTTTCGTGACTTCAGATATGCTGTTTTTATGTCATCAAACAGGATATTTGTACCTCAGCCATTTATAAGAAAATATATCGGAATCATTATGATATTATGTTCATTATGTTAATTATTTGCTATAATAATCAATATAATTCTTATGAATACATAGCATATCAATTTTTCTTATTTATTTAGAAATTAAATATAATTAAATAATTATATATTTTCACATTTATAAATATTTTTCTAACAAAAGAATGTTATTAAGCACTCAGAAAAATTTTATAATTGTATAGAACAATAAAAAAATCATTACAAAGTATTAATATTAGAATTCTTTAAATCTAATTATATAGAATATGCGTGTCTATGATATATTGAAATATATCTATCTAAAAATGCGAGCACACGAAATATAATTTGACAACAGTCATAGTGTGTTCTTAATCCATTTCGTAAAATCGAGCAAAATGTTCCCATCAGTCAAAGTGCGAAAACTCACGCGATATTCACGAATCGATGAGGCAAATATTTTCAATGTGTGGACATATTAAAAGTTCAGAAATAATCATGTGGAAATTTACAATTATCTAAGCGAGCAAGTCCAAAAGAAACCAATAATCACTTTATTTAATTAAACATATTATAACATTTTAGAACTATTCTTTCATTGTTTTTCAAAAACAATATATATTAATTCTTTTTGAATTAATTAATATAATTACGGAATTATTTATTATTCACAGAGTTCCGTAATCATATAATAATACATTTACGGAACTCTGTGAATAATAAATAATTTTAATATTATTGTCAACCAAAATTAATATTATTTACAAAATCTTTCATGCCATAATCCCTTGATTAAATAGGAAATAATTCTTCTATTAATAATATTTATATTACACAGAATAAATAATACTAATATTAACATTTTATTAATATTAAGAGAATCTCTTACGTTATATGATTAGACGAATAAATGATAATGTGCTCCAAAGTGGGACAGACTTCTTTGGCGGTCAACAACATCTTCGGATAATTTTGCACTTTGAACACGTCCGGTGAGACAATCGCTTTTACGCCAACCTTTTGCAAAGAATAAACTAATTCATTCTGTTGATAAGCCGGATTAATCGCGACAACGATTAATCCCGCCCTCGATGCACTCAGGGAAGTTATGAACCATTCGAGATCATTCGGACCCCAAATGCCCAGCCGATCGCCCTTCTTCATTCCTAATTTCTTGAGGCCCGCAGCGAAAGCGTCAACCCGTCGAAGAAGGTCGGAGAACGTTAATCGAATATTTTGATGGATCGAAACGATGCAAGTTTGTTCGGGCCACGTTGCAACAGCTTCGCCGAGTGTTTGCCCGACGGTTTTGTCCGACAATGGAAATTCGCCGGGATTATACATATGAGCAACTTTGATTGCTTGTGAAAGATTAGCTCTCGTTTGAATGTTAGACTTGCGATGCTGACATCGTCCTGCAATTGCAATTAATCGCAATGTAAGTCTATACACGATCGTTTTTCAAATCATACATATCTTTGAATTTTAGATTCTATTTCTTTTCTTTTATAGTTTCTTCAGTTTACAGTTTTTTTTATTAAATTTTTATATAACTAATCTTCGTATTGTGATAATAGCTGTTAAAATAACGGTATAGGCATTTAAACATACAGGAATTTTAAAGTTAATAAGATACGAATCATATCTTGTTATCGTTATTTGGACTTCTAATGAATGTAATAACTTCTTTTATTTATATAATTTCACTTCTAATTCAATCTGTATTAACTCTTTATATATGTTTTCGGAAATTAAACAAAATATAATTAACAAATCTTTTATTTCTTTTTCAAATATGGAAATAATCTGGATTCTTCAGTATAATGAGATGATAAGATAACATAGTTAATATTTAATAATAGCACAAACTTTAAAATTGTCGCATCATTATTTGTTCTATTGATTTATTCACTTACCTTCAAAATTAGTGTGTAATATAGAAAAACATCGTAAATAGCTGTGACAATTTACAGTTCTGAACATAATATATCGTGAAATTGAGTTAAACAGAGGAAGCATCTTTCTAAAAAAGTAGTCACTTGTGTCGCACTTGTGTGAACAAGTACAATACACACTGCAACTACACAAGAAAACAAAATAAAAAATTTATTGTCATCATGTGTTGTATCATGTTTTATCTTGTTTACGATAAAATAATCTATATTTATTATTAGTGTTATCTCTTTTTTAATATTAAATATTTATTATGAGGAATCTTATATTATTTTATAATTATTTTATAATTAAATTAATTAATATCATGCGAAAGAAGGAGAGAGAGAGAGAGAGATAGAGAGAGAAAGAGAGAGAGAGAGAGTGAGAGATCATTTTTTGATAATATAATCAATATCTTAAAATGACGATAACATAAATTCTACAAATTTTGAAAATGCCTATAAATAATTCCTTTATTATTAAAGGTAATTAAATATTCTTAAATGTCGAATGCATAGTAGAATGAGTGTTAATTAGGATAGAGAATATAACTGTTAAATTAAAATATCCAAAATAACCGTTGATAATAGTAAGACCGTATGTGTTGTTTACGACTAATGCGAGAACATAAGCGAATATAATTTCTAATATTATAAAATTACACATAGAAAATAGAGATCATTATTGAAATCTATATGTATAAAATAAATAAACAGGGTCTCTCTCTCTCACACACACACACACACACACATATTTAAAACATAAAATATTGGAAAGTTTATTTATTATAGACACATAATTATGATGCAGGTATTCAGTATCAGTTTGTGAATTAAGGCTATTAGCTTGTCTTTTTATAAACAACATTTCAGAAATTAATCTTTTATTATAAAATGGCTCGTGATCTAAGACCGTGACATTATCTTATTTAAAGTCATGGTTAAAATTAACTCTGTGGTCAGTAATGACAGAACAGATTAAAGTATTTTCATTTACGTGTTTACAATGTTCCTAAATTCTAATATTTTCCGCTGGTTTGACCAACATAGGATGCGCTGCAATCTTTATAGTCGAGTTTATAAACAACATTACTTAAAGAAAGTTTTGAAAGGTTTTGAAAGTTTTCGATCCTTATGAACTCTAATAAAATTATCCATTAGACTAATATAAACTTTAATGTTTTTTAGATTTCTAGTCATTCGTTTAAAACGTTCCGATATCAAGAGCACAAATGGTACAATAAAATATTTAGTGTGTTTATCATTTTCATTCGAATAAATTTTCTTATTTTTAAAAAACTCTGTTTCCAAAGTTATGAAACAAAAATTTCAAATGGTTAGTCAAATATGAGATAATATGATACTCTTACATCTCTATGGTCTTTCAACTATGGAAGATGTGACTGAATATCTGACGAGATTACTTTTATTATTGACCGTCGCGTCGGAGGATCTATTTACATTCGAAGAATAATTTAATTTAATTTCAATTTTTATCGTAATGCGTTAAGTCTTTCGCAAACTTAATTTTTAATTAATGTCTCTGAAGATGATTAAAAAAAGGATCAAAATGTCTGCTTATTTTATATTATTTTAACTTATGTTTAATAAACCTAACAATCATTATTAATATTTTATTAATTTTACCGATCACAGTTTTAAATTCTTTAAGTAGTTTTGGCTCATATGATTGTTTACCTTTCTTTTTAAATTTCTCAAGCCATTATTTATTATTATTTATTTTTTAAAATAATAATAATCTTTTTTTGCGGATTTAAATATCATATTTTTTCAATTCGATATCAAATTATACTTCAATCAATCAATCAAACTTAAGATGATATCGCAATTTTTTCAATGACGTCAATATGACGATATCACGATATAACATAATATATGTTATATTATTTTCATACTCTTTACACGATTTCATCTATTAATCATTTTATTAATTTTACACAATCTTTCCTTTCTATTTTTACACACACTGAGACATGCATTAAACATTTCCATTAAGAATATACTACGCACTGTCGGAGCACTTATTTGTTGATTTAGTACATTCAGTGCAGAATATATCGTGAGTGTAGGAATAAGCGTTAGAACATACGTAGATCTGTTTTCACTGCAATGCAGTAGAGAGAACTTTAACACAGAATATTTTCACTTAACTGATACGCTTATCAATGTGATTCTCGCGTTGGCCATACAATCTCGGTGACGTAAAACAAAGTGAATGTATGTATGTACATATGTGATTTTACCAGAAAAAAGAAAACTTATGACGATTGATTCTATTCGAAAAAATTGAATTTCAAAGTATTTAAATCAATCACTCTGTGAAAATCCAATCTCTTATCGATAATATTTCATTCTTCGCTCAGAATCATACATATATATGAATAGACACGACAAGACGTTGTAATGATTGTATTAACGCGATGTCTACATAAGCGATGTATTCACTGATATAAACTGACTCGAACTGAGGCTATCATGTATTTATAGAAGGAGAGAAGTTGGTATTGGAATTATTAGTACTATTATCTACAGTTTTTACTTATTCAAGATTAAATTTACATTGCTAAGCAGTTGATAGACTTATCGTAAGAAAACATGGTCGACTTTATGCTATGATTTTTTATGACTAACGAGCATTTATTTTACTTTTAAACTGGTACAAATTATAATTGATCCAAGAAAAAGAAAAAGAACATTTGCTTAATTGCAAGAATTATTATCCATGATTTAAATCAAACTTGAAGTAGAATTCTTTTTCGAAGTCTCATATTTTTATACATCTTAAATATTATTTCAATATTAAAAAACATATATTATATTATATTGTATATTATATTTGTTTAACATCTTTGAATCAGTCTTTCAAAGTTAATTTGCGAGGGAATATTACTCACTATATTAAATAATTTATCATCAAGTTCTTATCACGTGGCATTTTTGAAGTAGAATTCTTTTTCAAAGTCTCATATTTTTATACGTCTTAAATATTATTTCAATATTTAAAAAACATATATTATATTATATTGTATATTATATTTGTTTAACATCTTTGAGTCAGTCTTTCAAAGTTAGTCCGCGAGGGAATATTACTCACTATATTAAATAATTTATCATCAAGTTCTTATCACGTGGCATTTTTAAAGTAGAATTCTTTTTCAAAGTCTCATATTCTTATACGTCTTAAATATTATTTCAATATTAAAAAAATATATATTATATTATATTGTATATTATATTTGTTTAACATCTTCGGGTCCGTCTTTCAAAGTTAGTTCGCGAGGGAATATTATTCACTATATTAAATAATTTATCATCAAGTTCTTATTACGCGGCATTTTTGAAGTAGAATTCTTTTTCAAAGTCTCATATTTTTATACGTCTTAAATATTATTTCAATATTTAAAAAACATATATTATATTATATTGTATATTATATTTGTTTAACATCTTTGAGTCAGTCTTTCAAAATTAGTTCGCGAAAGAATACTCACTATATTAAATAATTTATCATCAAGTTCTTATCACGTGGCATTTTTAAAGTAGAATTCTTTTTCAAAGTCTCATATTTTTATACATCTTAAATATTATTTCAATATTAAAAAAACATATATTATATTATATTGTATATTATATTTGTTTAACATCTTTGAATCAGTTTTTCAAAGTTAATTCGCGAGGGAATATTACTCACTATATTAAATAATTTATCATCAAGTTCTTATCACGTGGCATTTTTGAAGTAGAATTCTTTTTCAAAGTCTCATATTTTTATACGTCTTAAATATTATTTCAATATTTAAAAAACATATATTATATTATATTGTATATTATATTTGTTTAACATCTTTGAGTCAGTCTTTCAAAGTTAATTCGCGAGGGAATATTACTCACTATATTAAATAATTTATCATCAAGTTCTTATCACGTGGCATTTTTAAAGTAGAATTCTTTTTCAAAGTCTCATATTTTTATACGTCTTAAATATTATTTCAATATTAAAAAAATATATATTATATTATATTGTATATTATATTTGTTTAACATCTTTGAATCAGTCTTTCAAAGTTAATTCGCGAGGGAATATTACTCACTATATTAAATAATTTATCATCAAGTTCTTATTACGCGGCATTTTTGAAGTAGAATTCTTTTTCAAAGTCTCATATTTTTATACGTCTTAAATATTATTTCAATATTAAGAAAACATATATTATATTATATTGTATATTATATTTGTTTAACATCTTCGGGTCCGTCTTTCAAAGTTAATCCGCGAGGGAACATTACTCACTATATTAAGTAATTTATCATCAAATTCTTATCACGCGGCATTTTTCTGCACGCCGAAAGTATACATCTGCGAAGCATGTATCGGGAGAGCGAAAAATAGAGATCACGCACGAGCAAGTCTTTCTAGTCTCGAGCGAGCGAAAGGGAAAAGGAATCGAGGGACGTTTATTCAGAGTCCGTGGCAGAGTCCGGTGGACTCGAGATAGACGGATAGCGTGCCTGCCAGGCTGGTCCGGAAGTCGCGTGTCGACGGCAGCCATAACAGCCCCTCCGCGACTCTCGCCCTTCCTCGACCCGAACCACCACCTCTTGCCTGATTTCCTTAGCTGCTACCAACTCGTCGACTAGCACGGCCTACCACGAGATTGGCCCGTGTGTGTGCGAGAGGTTTGCAATCCGTGCAGATCGGGGGTGAGCAAGTATTGGTGCAACGTTACCCTAATGAAACACCGAGAACGAGTCGGCGATTGGTCGATCCCGCCAGGGCTCGAAGGAAAAGCAACCCTCTCTCTTCTTCAACCCTCTCGGCTACGTAGCGTCTTCAGAATTGCTAGACTAACCGTGCCGTTAACATTCTTGCTCTTGGTATCGTTAATATATTTTCATTCGAATAATAAAATAATTAGCAGTGTCGAATCATGCGAAAATCTGTCATTTGTGCCAGGACGATATTGCCGCACGAAACGCGAGGAAGAATATATCCGATAGAAGTCGTTACGTCTTACCCAATTAACTAAGGGGCATTTACTCGTGTTACGTTTATATAATACTTATAGAAATATTAATCGAATATTTTCATTACATTTTTTTTTTTTTTTTTTTTTTTTTTTTTTTTTTTTTTTTTTTTTTTTTTTTTTTTTTTTTTTTTTTTTTTTTTTTTATTACATATCTTACTACGAATATTGAATCGAATTACCGGAAATCCACTGTCAATATATACGAGAAATACCACGATAAGGAATCATTAGCGGAAGTTCGAAAAAAAATAAAGTGAATAACACTACCAAGGTTCCACGTCGCAAACGAGAAGTATCTATTATGCCGTTTTCCTCGCTGTTCGGTACCGTAACGATGGCAGTTCGAACGCGAGGACACTTGAGCGAATCATGCTCGCGAAGGGATCGTAGCATAGCATGAGCAGTAACAGCAAGAAGCCACCGGGAGGCAAGGACGACAAGAAGAATCCCTCCAGCAAAGAGGAGAGCCCGTCGGGCGGGAAGGACGATGGTGGTTCGGCCTCGACCGGAAGTAATGGGGCTGCGGCCGGAGGAGAGCCGTCGCAGCCCGGAAGCAAGCCCAGCTCCGCTGGAGCGACCGCCAGGGAAGGGGCCTGGCGGCTCGCGGCGAGTGGGCCCCCGTGGACCAGCTGCTCAAATCTCTGGAGAAGACGGTGCAAAGTGCGGGGGAGGATGGCTTCATCGTCCCGCTCGCCGGTGTTCTGGACCCGGTCAGTTTCATCGATACGATTGATATGATTGGGAAGAGAGTTTTTACACTGAGGGAAAAATTTTTTTAAATCAAATAAATTTGTTTTCCTGAAACTTTTGCTTCAAATGCAAGGAATTGTTTATTTCGTTTAAGCAAAAGCATTTAATTTTAATTAAATATGCATGTTATATTAAGTACATTATTTTCATTTATATATTTTTTATATTTAAATACTATTTTCGTAAAATGTATACTATAATTTATTAAATTAAATAATTTATTTTTAAAATTAAAAAATTTACAATTTTTGGGAATAAAAAATGCATTTTAATAAATATTTTGTAAAATTAAAATAAAAATATTTAATTAAAAATTATATTTGTTAAACGTATGTAAATAAATACTTAACTTAAGCAAACGGACGTTTTGAATACAAGTAAATACGTGATTAGTACCCACCGAATAAATAGCTTTCTTGAGTTAACTAAAATTTTTTTATTTCGAGATAATTTTTTCCTCAGTGTAGTATAAAAAAAATTAATGTACTCAAATGAGAAAGGTAGTCGAACGAAAAGAAAAAGTAGTTCTCGCGAAGAAAAATAAATCTCTCGCGCGATTTATTCTTAGAAAATTCTGGCGAGAAATCTTGGATTGCAAAAGGACACATTTTATCACAGATTTGTATGATCCTAGATGAAGACTTTTATTTTGATTCACAGATGACGGGGATGACACCATTGATGTACGCAGTGAAGGACAATCGCAGCGCGCTGCTCGATCGGATGATCGAGCTCGGATCCGACGTGACCGCCAGAAACAATGCAAGTACCCCATGATCACGTTTAATAATCAAGAAAGTTGTTTATTTCTTTGATAAATTAAAAAAAGTATGAATTCTACAGTTTCGTAAAAGGGAAAATAAATATAAAAGAGGTAATTTTTTTTTTGGAAAAATACTCCCTCTGAAAAGAAAACATTTGATTCATTGCCTCTTGCCTATTCATTACCGTCGCGATAAATTTTTGTGTTAGAATTACGTGGCACTGACACGTAATAGCTGCAAAGGTGACGCGTGCCGTGAAAAGTACACCTAATGATCAGGCAATTTGTGCTAAGTCAAGTCACTGGAACTGGAAGAAGGGGTAGATTGCGTGAAGGAGGGCCAAGGTCGAGGAGCTTATGTTTATTGACCGAATAAGCAAGAGGGGTACATACACGTGTTAAGAAATAAATAAGGCAAAGTCCTTCCGGTGGCATTTCCCATGACTCGCAGAAGGTTGCACTAAGCGCTTTATTATAATTGACCCTCTCCATCAGACGTGAAAACCGTTGCAGTAACATTAATAATATACAATACCGTAGCATTAATAATATACATTTCGAACTCGAATCTATTACACTCAGTCTTATCGGGAACATTTTCAATGCCTCTTAGAAGGTTACACTTTATAAGCGCTATATAATTAATCTTTTATCAGGTACAAAATGCCAGTTGCAGTTAAAATTTTTTCATGACTAACTCTAAAGATTCGACTTCAATCTATTCCAAGAACCGTTTTTTCGTTGAAGTTGATGGGCTAACCTACTTTCTAGAGTTGATGGGCTACCTCTTTGCAAGAGTGCCTGTCTTATTCATTTGATCAGTAAACCCAAGTCCCTTAACCCTTCCTTAACCTTGGCCCTTCTTCACGCAATCGTTCCCTCGACTTATTTCCCCCTCTTCTCATCTGTGCTAACAATAAGTCAAGAATGACTTGCCTTACATTAGTACAGATTGCGGCTTGATCACTAACTGTAGACGTTTCATGGCATGCAGTCATCAATTGCGTTATTCAAAGTCTCCAGAATAGAAAATGTTATGCATATAAACATATGTAATGTATCATATTTAATTATTTATTTAGACGAACAAAGATAATAATTCTCTTATATTAATTAATTCTCTTATATTATATTTATTTAGATGAACAAAGATAATAATTCTCTCATATTAATTAATTCTCTTATATTATATTAATTCTTTTATAAGGAAAATTTATTATGTAGAAAAATAAATATTTCAACAGCATAATTAGCATCATTTCTGTTACTTGCAATGCATATTAGACGTGTTTCGTAAAAAGGCATTGCAGAGATGAGCATTAATTATGCTAGAGCATCACTTTGTAAGCACATGCAAGACATTATGTACTCACTGCTATTGATTTACTGCCTACCACTCCCACGATTCTGATATAATTTTCGAATAGCATGCTAATACATGATACACGTGATCGAAAGTCTGACATCTATCATTAAAGGCTAACTCGAATTTGTGGGTGCGGCAGAGCAAAATTTTTACGATTTTTATTATTCCATCTTCATAAAATTCCGTCATGACTCAACGAAATAATCGAGCTAATTATATCGTGTTTCTTAAATATCGCTTTTTCATAAGCATTAAACATAAAAGAATAGATATAAAGAATTAAATAATTAATTATGCAACTAATTGAAAATATTATATTGATTTTTGGGAAGGAAAATAAAATGACGTTAATTTTATAATTAAGCAAGTTTAAGATTTTCTGAGAGATAAACACTTTCTGGAATATAAGATGTTTTATTGGTTTTTGCAGGATAATTACAATGCTCTCCATATCGCTGCTATGTATTCGAGGGAGGACGTTGTTAAATTGTTGCTGTCCAAGAGAGGCGTTGATCCCTACGCTACAGGAGGAGTACGAATAAATATTTATTCTTGTAATATTTAGAAAGAAATTTCAAAGAATTTTATTGCAAGATTTAGCGTAATATTGAAAGAAATATTATTTTATATAATATAGATTCACATTCTTTGCATAATTTCAAATAATTTAATTTTGTTATTTGATTTTGCATTTCTTTAGACATCGAAATGCAGGATAAATTCTGTGACTACTTTATTTGGACTCTATTTCAATGTCAAGAATAATGGTTAAAGACTGGTTTAATAATAATTTATTAAAATTTATTAATATATTTATTTAATAATAATTAATAATGGTTAAAGAATGGTTGAATTATGTCAAATTTATTGTATGTCAAATTTATTGTATTTAAGGATGTTTTGTATATACAATCCCAGCAAAAAGTAGCTGAAAATCAATATTGACGAATATATCTATTTTTGGCGTATTTTGAGTAAGAAATTGTGTGGAATATTAGAGATGTATTTTTTAATATTTATTGCGTTTTTACTGAAATATTCCGAATTTTGTTAATCGAAATGATTAACTTTTGGCAGAGAATTTCGCCTTGTAACAGATACATGGTTAATTTCATTGAATTATATTTAATATCTTTTTAACCAGTTAGTACTTGTATAATATTATTTGACCAAATATTTCCTCTGTATCTAAACTTTTGCAAATTTTAAATAAGTTCTGAATATTATTTCCATGTGTTTTTGTCACTTGAATCGACGTGGTTATACGTTTCCCATAAGAACACATGTTAATTCGGTGCAAATTAAAATCCTTGTAACTTGTGAACGTTTTAGTGAATCGATTTAAAAATTGTACCGAAGATTCTAAACTTATGTAAGGACATTCTGTACAATTTTCATTAAATTCTCGATATTTTGAAAATAGATACAAAACATCCTTAAGCGATCTCACATGAAATGTCTATAATTTCGTGAAACATACGTAGCCGAGACAACAAACGGCGGTTCATCTGGTGGCGTCAAGACAAACAGGCACCGCGACGTCGATTCTACGAGCTCTACTGGCCGCTGCCGGACGGGACATCAGGTTAAAGGTCGACGGGGTAAGTCTAATATGGGCAGCATTATTTCACAAACTTGTGCAACCCAATAAACGCCGATAAAATGCGCCTTTTTTTCGGGAGTTTTCCGAACATTACTGTCGAGTCTCGATCATCTCGGTATCATCCAGGGCGAATTTCAATCGTGCGACACCACGGTAAATTCGTGGCCCCAAAACTTCAAATAGAAGTTTCGGAAGATAGAGGTCTTTCTGCAATAAGCCGCGGCACGATGCTCCCATTTCGCGTTTCTCGCGTGACAGGTGCCGCCTGCCGAGAGATCGCTACCTGGTACCAAACGACGCCATAACTCTTCTCCAGCTTGCTTTTTCCACCCTGTCTCTCTTTCCTTCTCTCTCTCTCTTGCTCTCTGTCACACATCCCCGTCGCGATAGTACGACGCCACCGATCCTGGAGGCGTCGGCGGTCGCCGACAGCCCCGGTGATCCTCGCCGTCAGCAGGAAAAAAAGAAACAATAGCCATGATATATCGAGACGAGATGCGCATATTTAGATGTTTCGGACGAACACGAAAAATGTTCGTGTCACCTGTCACGATAGTACCTGTCGAGAGATGTCTTATATGAGAAATAATACCTCCAGACACCTTTCGCCTTTCCAACAGTTTGCATGATTAATATAAATGTTTCTTTTGAATTTTTATGAATTTTTCTACAAATGATTTTCTGCAACTCGAGAACATTTATGTTTCATTTAAAAAGAAACATAGATGATAAAATGAAGTATGTTTGAAAATTTAAAAAGAAGCATGGATGATAAAATAAAATATGTTTTAAAATTTAAAAAGAAACATAGATGATGAAGCGAAATAAAACGTTATTCCTTGAATTTTATAAGACATTTAATTACATGGTAATTACTTTTAAATATAAAAATGAATTGTAATGTGTTTTCTTTTCACGTTTACGTCATTTTTAAAATTCCTTCTCCGTTTTCACAAAGCACATCGCGTAATTATTCGCATACCACGAGCCTTTCTTTCCGGAGGAAAATGTTTCATTTTCAAATAACTCTTCCCAAATCTCATTTCTCGTCGCAGAAAGGAAAGATACCACTTTTGCTGGCAGTCGAGGCTGGCAATCAGTCAATGTGCCGGGAACTTTTGGCGCAGCAAGCGCCTGATCAGCTTCGGGCCACCACGCCAGCAGGTGATTCTGCGCTGCATTTAGCCGCTAGAAGAAGAGACATCGACATGGTGCGGATCCTGGTAGATTACGGCGCCCCCGTCGACATGCAAAATGTACGTTAAATTACGTTAAATGTACGTTAAAGCACGAAGATCCGAAATGAAGCGGAAAATTGAAGCCGGTAATCGGACCGTGTCGTTCGAACTTTGGCGATTACGCAAGTACTTTTAAGGCAAATTGTAGGTCGCGATGCGAACTTTTTATCGTTCCTCGACAAACTGTTATGCGCAATTCTTAATCATTTTTTCTTAATCACAGTTGGGGAGAATTATTTCTTTCATCTTTTCTACATGAGCAATTTCAAGAATTTTAGACGTATCAATATGTGACGAGATATTTTTTTATGATTCAATTAATTTCTAATTAAAATCGATAGAAATTTGATACAAGATTTACGAGAAAATTTGCGAAGAAGCTACACATATAACACAAATCATCAAATATTATGTATACCGCGGTTTATCAATTCCACTCTAGCTTTAAAGCGAGCAAATTGAGTATAAAACTCGACGGGAAATCGATCATATACGATATTGGAGTGACTTACAAATTGTGACTTGCAAATATTAGTAGAAAGAACAGCAAGTTTACTCACTTTTGTGACCCAAATGAGAACAAGACAGAACTTTCTTGTGAAATTTATGAAAACATTTTTCAGATTATTCTAATTGTATTCACCCCTTACAAAATTATTTTACGATCTTTAACCTTTCTCTTGCCGGCGCGTAATAATATGACCAGCAGCGCAAAGGTCTTAATTGCGTCACAAAAAAAAGTTGTGGACACATATACCAGGGCATGCATGCGTAATGAGATCAACTGTCGCACTGCGTCGAGCAAGGATAATATCGTAGACAGGATTAAATTTTCAGTCAACGACGACACGTATTAAGAGAAGCTACCAGCATTAGCTGCTCGTAGGAATTTCTATTCTCACGTACAAGACAATGAATGACGGGAAACAAGATGACGATTAATCGTTAAAATGCAAATTAATTATTATTAATAATCTCAATCTCACTAAACGTATTTTTTCATTTGTACCAATTCAGTGCAAATACAAAAGTGAACATTTTTCCTAACTTTTTAGATCAAAATATATAAACTCGAGTCTCTGTATGATTTTCTACGTGTGATGAAAGAAACAACACATGTATGTAATTCTACTTGAGAAATCTCAGCGTGCAGCATTTATTTCAGGGCGATGGGCAAACGGCGTTACATATAGCGAGCGCCGAAGGTGACGAAACCTTGGTGAAATATTTTTACGGTGTCAGAGCCTCCGCGTCCATCACGGATCATCAGGATCGAACGCCGATGCATCTGGCCGCGGAGAACGGCCACGCTTCCATCATCGAGCTGCTGGCCGATAAATTCAAAGCGAGTATCTTCGAAAGAACGAAGGACGGCTCGACTCTGATGCATATAGCATCGCTGAACGGGCACTCGGAATGTGCCACTATGCTCTTCAAGAAGGGCGTATATCTGCACATGCCAAATAAACGTGGGGCTAGATCTATTCATACGGCTGCAAAGTACGGTCACGTGGGTATTATTAGCACTTTGCTGCAACGTGGAGAGAAGGTAAGTCATCATATGTGAAATTAATTTTCTCCCGGTAAATATAATATAATATATGAATACCATCCACATATTTCTTAATTCTTAATTCTATATATTAGGTGTATAACTAAGTTCCCGCCGTTTTTCTTGCTTGAAAAATGCATTTATTTCAATAAGAAAATGAATTAATATATTAATCAAGGAAAAGGAAAAGGTGATAATCCGATGGGGCCAAGTCTGGAGAATAGGCGGGTGCGGGAGAACTTCGCATTCGAGCTCCAATAGTGTTTCTTTTATGATTCTTGCAACGTGAAGTCGCGCGTTGTCATGCAAATGAATCACTTTATATCGATTACTGGCCCTTTTCGCATCACTTCATCATTCAATCAGTATAATTGTTGTTGGTAGCGGTCAGCTGTGACTGTTTCAGAAATCAATCGATGAGCTTCAGCTGCAGTTTTATTTAAATCAAAGCAGTGAAGAAGTGTATGTCGAAAAAACAACTTATCACGTTTCATTTTACATCGATTCAAAAAATATCCCTTTCACAAAAAATGAATCTTTGCGCACTCAATTTTATTGACAAATGCCTAACTTCACTACATTTGCAGCTGGAGCCATTCAATTATGAGCAGCGGGAACTTAGTTATACACCTAATATATATCTATTATTATTAATATATTAGAATCGCCAGAATTTTGCTAGAGAAATTAGGTCAAGAATAAATATTATAATTCATTCCAAGTTTGAAAAATATTTTTATCTGATTAAATTTTATCTTACATTTTCCACTTCTTCGGGTTTGATGGACAGGTGGACGCGATAACTAACGATAATTACACGGCACTCCACATAGCCGTGGAAAGTGCCAAACCGGCTGTCGTGGAAACGCTTTTAGGATACGGTGCGGAAGTGCACGTGAGGGGTGGAAAACTTCGGGAAACTCCACTTCACATAGCCGCCAGGGTGATCGACGGTGACAGATGCGCTCTGATGTTACTGAAATCCGGAGCAGGACCCAATTTGACAACTGACGACGGCCAAACCCCCGTCCACGTGGCAGCCAGTCACGGGAATTTAGCGACGCTCCTTTTGCTTCTCGAAGATGGGGGAGATCCTATGTTTAAGTCAAAAGTACGTCCACAAGATTTTTAATTACAAAATGTATTTTTTAATATAAAATGTTATATTAATTAAACAGTTCAATAATTAAGTATCGCGTGTAAGAAACAATAATCATCACACTGAGAAAAATCGTTTGATTGTACTAACAAGACGTATATGATTGAAGACATTTTGATTAAATCAAACAAGAATTTCTAGTTATCAATACTCGATTTTTTTATAACTAAAACGTTTAATCGATTTTACTATAAGGATTTGGTTAGTATCTTCTAGTTGAATCTATTAAATTTCTTGTTACATTAATTTCTTTGCTTGCTTCTTAACTTAACTCGTATTCAATATTTGCCATAAAATGTATATAAAGAATTAGTATTAACATTAAATCCAAAGTATATTTTTTTCTCTTACGAGCAGTACTGCCAGAAAGAGGACGCTAGCTCTCTGATTGTGTGTGTTTGAGCTGCATCCTTTTCTTGCATTACTGTTTATCAGTTTAATTTCTAACAAACTGAATTTAAAATAATTTATTCAATAATCTAAATTGAATTTATCCAATAATCTTGTTGGAATTCAGAATATTAAACAGACTTTTGAGATTAGATGAAAAAAATTTTAGACGACTTAGTGTTTGTCGAGTTTAGTATTATTAACCAGAAAATTTGGTAAATTTAACAGGAAGAAATTAATCAGATTCATCTGGTAATTCCTACAAGAATTCTGGTCCATTTTCCAACAGACATACTGGTTGAATCTACCAGAATTCTAATTAATGCAACCAGATTCTTTTTTCAGTGCAATATTACTTACATCAATACACTTACATCAATATAAGGAACAATAATCAATATTACTTACATCAAAATAAGTGATACACATGCATTATTTTCTCAAAGATATCTCAGTGTCAAAATAGACGCTAAATTTTTTACGCGCAATAATTAAACTTGCTTCTATTATATTTTGAGACACTGATTTTCCTCACAGAACGGAGAGACGCCTTTGCACTTAGCCTGCAGGGGTTGCAAGGCGGATGTGGTTCGGCACTTGATAGAATTTGTAAAGGACACGAAAGGTCCGGAAGTGGCAACCGCCTACGTGAACAGCCTAACCAATGATGGTGCCAGCGCTCTTCATTACGCCGCTCAGATCGAACCTTCGGAGGTCATCGTCCCTGGTGACGATCGCGCCGTTGTACGTGCTCTCCTCGACAGTGGCGCGGATGTCTCGTTGCAAACCAAACAGGCCCAGGAAACTGCCTTCCATCATTGTGCTCTCGCGGGCAACAACGAGATCCTGGAGGAGATGATCAGTCGGATGTCGTCCACGGATGTGCAAAAGGCCTTGAACCGACAGAACGCTGTGGGTTGGACGCCGTTGCTGATCGCCTCCAATCGAGGCCACATGGAACTGGTGACGACTCTCCTCGCCAATCACGGTAGAGTCGACGTGTTCGATCTCGAGGGTAGATCCGCTCTGCATTTAGCCGCGGAACACGGCTACTTGCAAGTGTGCGACGCGCTGTTGGCGAACAAAGCTTTCATAAATTCCAAGTCCCGCGTGGGAAGAACCGCCCTGCATCTGGCCGCTATGAACGGTTACACGCATCTCGTTCGTTTTCTCATCCAGGATCACGGCGCTGCGATAGACGTGCTCACCCTCAGGAAGCAGACTCCCCTTCACCTGGCGGCGGGAGCCGGCCAGTTGGAGGTCTGCAAACTTTTACTGGATCTCGGTGCCAATATAGACGCCACGGACGATCAGGGACAGAAACCGATCCACGCCGCGGCTATGAACAACTTCGCCGAAGTGGTGCAACTCTTTCTGCAGAGGCATCCCAGTCTCGTGATGGCCTGCACCAAGGACGGCAACACTTGCGCCCACATCGCCGCGATGCAAGGCAGCGTTCGGGTGATCGAGGAACTGATGAAGTTCGATAGACAGGGCGTGATAACTGCCAGAAATAAATTGACGGACGCGACACCGTTGCAGCTGGCGGCGGAAGGTGGACACGCCGAGGTGGTGAAGGTCTTGGTTAGGGCCGGAGCATCCTGCTCCGACGAGAATCGCGCGGGTTTCACCGCGGTTCATCTGGCGGCTGAGTATGGCCATGGCCAGGTACTCGAAGTGATGAGATCGTCGCAGTCTCTTAGAATAGTTAGCAAGAAACTTGGCGTCACAGCGCTTCACGTTGCCGCTTACTTCGGGCAAGCTGGTGAGCAAAAGACAGTAGCAATATCATGTTTATTTATGGAATCATGGTCGTTATACTAACGATAATTATATTATATTACTAATAATTATGTTGAATTAAATTAAATATTTAATTAAAATAACTTTGATATTTTATTAATAAGAAGATTCTGATCCCAGTAACAGAAAACTGAACAAACTTACACTAGTGCAAGATTTTTTTACGCAACGTTTTTACATGTTTATAGCAAATAAGCTATTAACAAATCAATCTTTAATTGTTTCTAGATACGGTTAGAGAATTACTGACTCATATACCTGGAACTGTAAAATCTGACCCACCAACCGGAGGATCTCTGGTAGGAGAATTGGGAGCCGAATCGGGCATGACTCCTCTTCATCTCGCCGCTTATTCTGGAAACGAGAACGTCGTGCGGCTTCTTCTCAATTCTGCCGGAGTTCAGGTAATTGAATAAAATTTTCGATTGGGTATGAATTTTTTTTTGATATTTTACAAAAGGTCAGTTAATTCATCAGCTTAATATAAACCTAATTTGTGGCATTACTCGGATAAAAAGTATATTATAAAATATCTAACAATAAGTAATATATTCTAACGATGCTCACACATAGTTAGTCGAAGAAATTAAAGAGTTAAGTGATTTAATCGCTACTTTTTACGAGGATCTACGCGAATATATAAGAATGAATTTCAAAATTGAGAAAATTAAATTTACATCGTCTTGAAAACTTGAAGGTGGACGCAGCGACGACGGAGAACGGATGGAACCCCCTGCATCTGGCCTGTTTCGGCGGCCACATAACTGTCGTGGGCCTATTGTTGAGCAGATCGGCGGAGTTGCTGCACAGCGCGGACCGTTATGGCAAAACGGGATTACACATCGCGGCGACCCACGGTCATTATCAAATGGTGGAGGTCCTCTTGGGCCAGGGGGCGGAAATAAACGCGACCGACAAGAACGGCTGGACGCCATTGCATTGCGCGTCACGCGCCGGTTATCTTGACGTGGTGAGACTGCTCGTAGAGAGCGGGGCATCCCCGAAGAGCGAGACGAATCTTGGCTGCGCGCCGATCTGGTTCGCTGCATCCGAGGGTCACAACGATGTACTCAAGTATCTCATGGAGAAAGAGCACGATACATACGCCCTGATGGAAGATAAAAGGGTAAGAAAGAACACTTGTAATCGATAAGCTGAATGGAACTTGGGAAGTCTGAGGAAAAACTTTCTCAACAGGAGGCTTCTTCAAACATCATTTCAATTTCTGAATTTGGGAATTTTTTTTTGATTAGTTACAGATTTTATAGCTTACAATATGACGATTGTAAAAATACGTAAAGTATAAATACGCACTGAGAAAAGTCGTTTGATTGTACCAACAAGATGTATATGATTGAAGGCATTTTGGTTAAATCAAATAAGAATTTCTAGTTACCATGATAAGACTCGATTTTTTATAACTAGAACATTTAATAGATTTTACCAGGGTTGGGTAAGTTTATATTTTTTTTAAACTAAATTAAGTTAAAGTTAATAGGTTAAAAAATTAATTTAGTTATGTTAAAAGTTATACAAATAAAAAATTAACTCAATAAAAGTTACGTTAAGATTAAATTAACGTTAGTTAAGATAAAAGTTAAAATTTTGAAAAGCATTATTTCACTTTATATTAAATTAGATTGTAATTTTAAAATTAGATTACTCTAAATAATAATAATATGAATCATCAAATAAATTTGGGGGGAAAATTAATAAGTTTAAGTTTATGAGTTTTAAAAATAACTAGTTAAAGTTAAAAGTTAACTTTTTTTAAAATAATTAAGTTGAGTTAAAAATTATTAACTTTTTAACTTTTTTTTAACTTTTAACAAATCAACCAATTATTACCCAATCCTGGATTTTACTATAAGGATTTGATTAGTATTTTCTGGTTGGATCTATAAAATTTCTTGTTACATTAATTTCTTTGCTTGCTAGGCGGTGAGCCACTCTTAACTTAACTCGTATTTAATTTGCCATAAAATGTATATAAAGAAACAATATTAACATTAAATCCAAAATATGTATATTTTTTTTCTCTTACGAACAGTAGTATCAGAAAGAGGACGCTAGCTCTCTGATTGTGTGTGTTTGAGCTGCATCCTCTTCTTGCATCACTGTTTATTAGTTTAATTTCTAACAAACTGAATTTAAAATAATTTATTCAATAATCTGGATTGAATTTATCCAATAATCTTATTGGAATTCAGAATATTAAACAGATTTTTGAGATTAGATGAAAAATTGAGATTAGATGAAAATTTTAGACGACTTGGTGCTGTCGAGTTTAGTATTATTAATTAGAAAATTTGGTAAATTTAACAAGAAGAAATTAACCATAATCATCTGGTAATTCCTACAAGAATTCTGGTTCGTTTTCCAACAGACATACTGGTTGAATTTACCAGAATTCTAATTAATGCAACCAGATTTTTTCTCAGTGCGAGTAATTAAATAATATTTAATTCTTGCATCACTGTTTATCAGTTTACTTTTTAACAAACTGAATTTAAAATAATTTATTCAATAATCTGGATCGACTTTATCCAATAATCATGTTGGAATTCAGAATAATAAACAGACTTTTGAGATTAGATGGAAAAAATTTTAGACGACTTGATACTGGTGAGTTTAATATTATTAACCAGAAAATTTAACAGGAAGAAATTAATCAGATTTATCTGGTAATTCCTACAAAAATTCTGGTTCGTCCATTTTCCAACAGATATACTGGTTGAATCTACCAGAATTCTAATTAATGCAAACAGATTTTTTTCTCAGTGCGCTTTTAATAATGTGTTATATAAATTAATAACATATTTAAATTATTTTATTTGAAATTATGTATATATTTTTTTAATTTTATATCCATGAAAAAGTTTCCATCGCGGATATCACGATTTAATTTAAAGACTTCTTTTCATCGTAAAGTCACACAGCATCATATAACAATTATTTCGTAGAATTATATTGGGGACGAAGTATTATACTTTGAAAATTCATGAAGCATTTGTGGATCGAGAGATGCACGACATTTAGAAAGTTTACTAATTTTCTCAGACAAAGTCGGTAAATCGAACTAATAAATCTGCGCTTTAATGTTAGGTACACACGCGAAGTGCAGTTGCGCCGACTTCGTGATCAAAAATTTATTGATAATACACGCGTTCAGTTCAAATAATTTTGAAACAAGATCAGTATCTCTATTGCATAAAATTCTGCAGTCGTGCTGTTGCAGAAAACTTTACCGTAATACGATTAATTAAGCTTCACAGCAATTAAACGAAGTACTGCGAATCAAAGTCTGGAGTTATCCATAAAACATGATATTTATCTGTATTTATTTGCCGCAACTTGAAGTAGATTGGAGAATTTAATTATAAGATAACGTAAAAGAATTTAAAATGTCATACTGCAATTATAATTTCATTAAAAAAAATAGAAATAAATTATCTAATTTAATAATCTATATAAAGATTATATAATTAAAGATTATATAATTATAAGATTATAATTATAAGATTATATAATTATAATTATAAAGATTATATAATTATAAGATTATAAAATTATTAGAAATTTTTATTGTAATTATTCGAAATTTTTAATGATTAATAATCTATATAAAAAATATTTATATATAAATAGAATACACGATAAAAAAGAATTGAAGTTATTTAATCAATTAATGATGATTATGGATGATTAATGTCAAGAATCATGAGATCATAAAAATCTTCTTGCTTTGCTCGATTCCGCTCTTTTTAATTCGAGTAAACTGTTGGATTTACAGTTTGTCTACAACATGATGGTCTGCAGCAAGAGTCACAACAACAAGCCGATAGAGGAATTTGTTCTGGTGTCGCCCGCACCGGTGGACACGGCGGCCAAGCTGTCCAATATCTACATGAAACTCTCCGAGAAGGAGAAGGAGCGGGCCAAGGATCTGATCGCGGCCGGGAAACAGTGCGAGACCATGGCTACCGAACTGCTTGCTCTGGCGGCAGGCGCCGATTCGGCCGGCAAGATCCTGACGTCGATGGATCGTCGAAACGTCGAGTTCCTGGACGTGCTGATCGAGAACGAGCAGAAGGAGGTAATCGCGCACACGGTGGTGCAGCGTTACCTGCAGGAACTTTGGCAGGGTAGTTTGAACTGGAACGCATTCCGGACAATCCTGCTGTTCATCTCCTTCATCATCTGCCCGCCCGTTTGGGTAGTATTCGCTCTTCCACTCGGGCACAAGTACAATAACGTGCCCATCATCAAGTTTATGTCGTATCTCACGTCGCACATCTATCTGATGATCTTTCTGCTGCTGGTCGGCATCACGCCGATCTATCCGGTAGTGATGAGAGCGACTCTGATACCGTACTGGTACGAGTGGTGCCTGCTGGTGATGCTATCGGGCCTGTTGCTGTTCGAGCTGACGAATCCTAGCGACAAGAGCGGTCTGGGCTGGATCAAGCTAGCGGTGCTGCTCTTCGGTATATTCGGCGTGGCGTTTCACCTGATGGGATTCGTAATGATCAACAAACTGTACTGGCCGACCCTGCTCTACCTGAGAAACCAGCTTTTTGCCCTCAGTTTCCTTCTAGCTTGCGTGCAGATACTGGACTTTCTGTCGTTCCACCACTTATTCGGGCCATGGGCGATCATTATCGGTAATCTTATGAAGGATCTCGCGAGATTTCTCGCGGTCTTGGCCATCTTCGTCTTCGGCTTCTCCATGCACTTCGTCGCGCTCAATCAGGCCTTCAAGAACCATCAAAACTTGCAGGAGGTGCGCGCGGAGGAAAGCAAACCGAGAAAGATATTCGAGGACGGTAAGTTCGAGATTCATATTTTCCACGTTTCCCCTTTCTTCAATCGATCTCTTTTCTTTTTACTGTACAATTTGACGCCAATCGAAAGCTAGTGGCGCAGTAATTGTATTTTTTACAGCTCTTTCCATCTATAAGACATATATACATATACATATATGAATATATGCGCACACATATATTGTATATTGTAGATATCGTAGATACATTACGTAGATACGTAAATACGTAGGGCTAGATCTTAGATTGGCAATCGCTTGGACGCGGTACTGGTTCTATGAACAGGATGTAGACCGTGCTTTCGCCCACGCAGGTGCTAATTCGCGTGGGTACCAAAATAACGACACAGTTCCCTTTACTCTTTCTGTAAAATTGGTAACTTCCCTTCCACTCCTAGAGTCAGTTTATATCGAGAGTTCGAAAGCTGGTATAATCTCTGGATGAATTTAGATTTCGAGGTGACGTCGAAATCTAAAGCGAAACTCTTGCGTGAATTTGGCGGGTTTCAGCGACTAGTTTTTATATCAGTTTATGGAAGAAACATTTCTCTCCTCACCCATTCGCTAAATTTATCCCCGATTCTCGAAAAAAAGTCACCGTGGATGCTGTGGTCAATTCGCGCGTTAGACACTTTTCGCAATTATTATTTATCGAGATTCGAAAAGCAAGTCTGCTTTATATCGATCATACTCAGAGGCACGCGGAACGATACGAAATCATAATCGAATGAATTACAATGATAGATATGGCCAATGTTACGGAATGGATGATGGAGACGCCATCAACGGCGCCTCCTCGTCGCTACGGCCGCTACAAGAAAAAGAATGAGTGTTGTGACGATAACGACAGAGATAGTAAGTTTTGCTGGTTGAGAAAGATTAATCGGAAGCAACCGAACGGAAAGCGACCTAAACAACAATCGCACGTGCGAAACTGAATGCAGGACACGGTCCATCTCGGTGTCGTCTCGTCTGCATCGTGCATTTGGCCAGTGTGTGTGTGCGTGTATGTTGTCTGCTGAGACTGCTGCCTGATATGATGAAAAAAAAAGAATGAAAAAAAAAAAAAAGAGAAGACAGAAAAGATAGAGCAACGCCCGACGTTATTCTTCGTTCATCTCGTATGCTGCGATTCGGAAGCGACAGTAAAAACACGAGGAGAGAAAGCGATTGATGGGTGTTCGTTAAGAATATCTGAATTATAATAAATACGAAGGGATATGTTATATCACACACACATATAACACAATGTAACATTGCAAGGGTCATATAAATTGTTATTATTTTTTTTTTAATTGTAGGCTTTTTCGAAAGGATTTTTTTTTCAACTTTTTTTTTTACGTAAAATGTATTTTCCTTAGTTCTCTGGACTACGTGTCCGCGTCGCAGCTTACCGAATGAATATCTTGTATTGATCTCAGACAACTTGTTCTGTCTGCGCAATTGATTAGATATCGATTAGCATTATTGGCCGGAGCATATTGTGCTCGTGTTTTTCTTTCACAGCCTCTGTCCGTGTGCATCCCCATGTCTCGCTGTACGTATACGTCCATATGTGTACATACATGAGAGCACACGTATGTGTATGTACGTGTGCGTATGTATTTCTACATATCTGTATATTACCTGTGTTATTTAGTAGGTTGTTTAGAGATCGTTCTATGCTAGTTGAACGCCGATGTTGTCTCTCAGTTCATGATGTGCATCAGCTGCACGCACGTTTATGTGTGATTCTTCGAGAGATCGAGCTTACGGATTCCACGTTTTCCATTCCACAAAGAATGCTCGTATTCGCGTATCTTTTTTTTTTTACTTTCCTCCGCACTGGACAGGACTCCGTCCTTCGGACATGACAAGATTTCTCCCCTTCCTCTCCCGTGTCCTTGCATGCAAGCAACGCGACGTGTCGCGTTCACCTCTGAAGAATTGCGCAAGGAGGGCGTGCCTCTCCGAGCTGCATGCCGCATCTTTTTTTATCCACTACAAACATACGTGCGGTATGTTTCAAAATCTCCACCCGCGACCCCCCTCCCCCCTCTCATTCAGCACGGTTACGCACGATTGTACGATTAAACCGATCGTTCGACCACTGGCTGCCTCGAGAAAGAAGCTGCATCGATAAAAAAACGCAACGCATCTCTCCGTTTAGCAAGACGCTCTTCGCTCGTCCTGAAACGCGTAGAATTTCCATCGAAATTTCGTCTTTTAGCGAGACGAGATGTATAGAAAAGAAAAAAAAAAAAAGAAATGAATCAATTGGTTGTAAAAGCAAGGCGAATTCGAGCGACGAGGTGCTGAAAGATCGAGTGGCAGTGTACGCACTGGACGATGAAGCTGCAGTCTGCAATGAGAAATTGTCATGGCATGCATCCAGCGCATTAGTCCGCAGCCGCAGCTGCAGAGCATGGCCCAGAGTCTATATAAAAAAAGATGCATGAGCATGTTCGTTCCTCCGTTTGCTCGTTTGTTCGCTCGCCCGCTCGCTCGATCGTTCGTTATGGAACCTCACACGTGTGCATTCATATATTATAAAATAGCGAGTACCCACAGTAGTAGCCAGAATTTGTAATGGCACGAATGGCAATGAGCTAAGGAGAAAGAAAGTGCTCTTAGAGCTACCAAGAAACGTCTTGTGTGTGTGTGTGCCTCGTAATTCCAGTAAAGATGAATCCGATACTCGCCTTCGAGTATCTGTTCTTCGCCGTCTTCGGACAAACGACCCACGGCGAGCTGAAGGTCGAGCACAATCAGCCGCAGTGGACCTCGGTCCTCTTCAAGTTGACCTTCGGCGTGTACATGTTGGTCTCGGTAGTGGTGTTGATTAATCTGCTGATCGCCATGATGAGCGACACGTATCAACGGATACAGGCGCAGTCGGACATTGAGTGGAAATATGGACTCAGTAAACTGATCCGTAACATGCACAGGTAAGCCCGCGATCTTTTAAGACCCGAATAAGAGCGCGATAAGCATATGATAACTGGGCGCTGGTTAAAATAGCATATCGAATTATCTCTTACCTCGTCCGCGGCCCGGAGAACGTTAAAAATAAAGTAACCGTGATCTTTCGCGGCTCCTATTCGTGTCCATCGCGTATCTACCGCGTCTGATAAGGCATAGTTCGCGGTTGTCGTTCGCTTTTATACAGGATGTTAAAAGAGTCTGGACACGGTCGAATATTTCGATAAGGAAGGGCTTTACTAGAAAGTGTTTCAGACAAAAGTTGTATGGCTTCGAGGGGAACATAACGTGGTACCATTTGTTTGACGTTTGAAGAGTTATTTGTAGGTCACTTTTGATTTCTTAAATTGAACACTACATTTTTTATTGTACATTCTTATAGCTTATTTCAAGAGCTTTCCAAAACACTATAATTAAGTTAATTTTCATGAAGTACTTTCCGAGTTATGAGGCTTGAAACCATTTATTAATTCTTAATTTATTAATTTATTAATTCTTAATTTCTTAATTTTACATAAATTGTAAAATATCTTGTAAAATATTCATTTTTCGATTATCTTACTTCAATATATTTTTATGTACAAAATAATGAGAGGAATCAATTGATGTAAAGAAAGCACATCGTTATTTTTAAGAAAAAAAAATGTAATTGTTAATTGGAAATTACATTTTTTTTCGAAACAACTGTGTGTTTTCTTTACACCAATTGATTCCTCTCATTATTTTGTACATAAAAGTATTAAGGCAAGATAATCGAAAAATGAATATTTTACAAGATATTTTATAGTTTATGTAAAATTAAGAAATGATTTCAACCCTCATAACTCGGAAAGTACTTCATGAAAACTAACTCAATTATAATGTTTTAGAAAGCTCTCGAGGTCAGCTACATAAATATACAATAAAAAATATAGTGTTCCATTTAAGAAATTGAAAGTGACCTTCATGGGATATTCAAGTAGCTCTTCAAGATCAAACCAATGGTACCACGTTATGTCCTCTTCGAAGCCATACAACTTTCGTCCGAAACACTTTCTAGTAAAACTCTTCCTTATCGAGATATTCGGCCGTGTCCAGACTTTTTTTAACACCGTGTATAAGTACAATACTACTCGAGGCGGTTCTTTAACTAGCTCGCTGTTAAGCAGTACGGGGTTAACGGAGCACACCGTGTAGGAAACCGCGAAATTGCGTGTTGCAGAACTACCACAGCTCCGTCCCCGTTAAACTTGCTCACCACCTGGATGGTGTACTTCATCAAGCTGTGTAAGCAGCGCGCCGCTAAACGTAAACGACCGTCGTTGGTGCATATGATGGGGCTGCAGCACGGCAGCCGTTTATCGCCCAGATCGAAGATGGGCGCGAAATGGTTGGCCAAGGTTAAGAAGGGCCAAGTCCGTCCGAAGGACAGCATGACCCTCTCCGTGGTTCACCTCAGCCCGCTGGGTAGCCAGCTCTCCTTCAATACAGCGACCAGAATAGAAAACGTGGTGGACTGGGACTCGATCAGGAAGAAGTATCTCGCTCTGACCGGCAACGAACCCGAGAAGGAAGACGCGGAGAAGGAGGGGAAGAGCGACGAGGACGAGAATGAGGATGAGAAGGGGCAGACGGCTTCCAACGCCTCGACGATACCGGCGACGACGAACCCAAATCCGCCTGTGTAAACATCGTCATCCACGGATACTGAACGGCAGCGCGAGCAAACGAGCGATCAGATACAGTCGCGAGTTCCGCTATTACGTACTTAACAGAGACTTAAAAAAAAAAAAACAAAACGCTGTACAGAAGTTACTCATCAAACATTCGCCACGAATAATTTTTTACGTAAAATTATAAACCGCTACCGCAGACACAAATCCCGACGATCGAGCGAGACCATCCATAAAGGATCGATCCTTGCGCGACGACCGGCCTAGCATTTTAAGCATCTAAGTAAGTAAAGTCCCGATGTGATTCGTGAATCTCGTAGGAATGCATAATTGATGTTGTTTATGTCAGATATGAGTATGAAAAGTGATTTTGTCGACACCACCATATCCTTCTCCGTCACATGGCATGACCAGATAATGCCTGCGAATGTTAAACCCCACCACATCCGCTCGATGCTTCATTGAATGTTGGATCATTCATTCGCGACATTATAATTTTCGCGTTTCTAGGATACAGAATTTCGACTCGTTGCGATGAAACTCTTTTTCAGAGCCTTTTATTGTAAACATCAATTTAAGTTAAATGTAAGACTTATAATTTAAAAAAAACCTATGCATTTTTTTTCTGTAGGATGGAGAGGCTACTTGAGTTAATTGAGAGGCTACAGTTAACTTTAACTAACATTTACGCGGACAGCTCATATAATAACATAACATTACTGACAACACAAACGTCTAAGGACGCATCTCATCTAAAGGTATCTCAATTTTTCAGATGTTCCTTGGATATGTTGGGATTGCACGAAACATACATCACAATCTCCTCAGTTCCTCTTACGTCTCATGTGCTTAAAATTAGAAACCGTCCTGTTAGAAAAGAATTTCGTTCTCTTAGGACACCTGAACCTTTTCTGACGAATCAAAGAATTCATGCAAATTGCAGCAAACGTACCTTGTATGGCTTGAAATCGATTCATTTCTCGACGTTTTCAAGTAGTAGCAACGTTAGCATGTATCTGAACAGTGGCAGAGAACTTTGCATAAACTTTGCATACGTTCGCGCGCATTTACACGAGACTTTTACGAGACACGTTATTAATACGTATTTACAGTCAAGATAAATCCCATATACGTGGTCGAGTTGTTGTTCTTCGCCATCTTCGGTCAGACGACGCACGGAGACTTCAAGAAAGAATTGAACCAGCCCGAATGGACGAAGAGCCTTTTCAAGCTCGCCTTCGGCATTTACATGTTGGTGTCGGTGGTGGTGCTTATTAATCTCTTGATCGCCATGATGAGCGATACCTATCAGCGGATACAGGCTCAGTCGGACATCGAGTGGAAGTATGGATTGAGCAAGCTTGTTCGAAACATGCACAGGTAAGAAAAAAGAAATGGTTCTAGAGAAGAAAATAAGAGAAAAGAAAGAGGAGACAGTAAGAAAGGAACAAACGATCGCACGATTTGCCATCGTGTCTTTCGTCATTGTGTCTAATTCCGTACTTTCGACGTGTAACAGGACTACCACGGCACCGTCCCCGTTGAATCTGTTGTCTACATGGATCACGTACTTTTGCAAGCTCTGCAAGAAACGCTTCAACAAGAAGAAAGAACGGCCTTCTCTGATGAACCTGATCGGCAATCGCATGTCCCCTCGCTCTAGAATGGGAGCAAAATGGCTGTCCAAAGTGAAGGGTAGACAAATCGCGCACAAGGACAGTGTCACTTTGTCGGTCAGTCACCTGAGTCCACTCGGGAGCCAATTATCCTTCAGGAATACCGTCAGGATAGACAATGTGGTCGACTGGGAGGTCGTCAGGCGCAAGTACAGAGACTTGTACGGCGAGGAAGTCGAGGAAAAGCCGGTCGAAGAGAACAAGGAATCGACGGAGCCGAATCCACTGGCAGCCTTAGAGGGTGTCAATGAGAAATCGAAGCTGCTTGGGGCTTGAACTTCGAAAAGGAAACACTGGAGAAGGAGGCATATATATTCGCCGACAATATTCTCTTGTAGCTCTCGCCACAGAAGGAGAAAAGGATTCTCGCTTTTGCGGATCCGCCGCTTTAAATGCGCTGCAAAATTGCATGCATTTATGTACTTGTACATATCGCAGTATCGCGTATTACGTGAAGAACCTTGTGTCAATACCTTTGAAAATAAACGCCTAGTTCGATCTTGCCTCGCTTGTACAGTTATTATTAAGCTAGCGAACCCGCTCCTTGTGATCCATAGTCTAATTGATTGCCTGTACCACGTTTTAGAGACTACCATGGGGAATACCCGTGTGCATAGGGATCGTTCCACGTCACGTTTGACGGTTAGTCTCTCTCTCTCTCTCTCATTAACATTATTAATTATTAATCTCTCTCTCTTCCGCCTGGAATGTCTTATCGATTATATACATATATATATATATATATATATATATATATATATATAATATATATAGCGCAATTATATAATGATTCTCTTGCAATGCGATGCACGCACCGATCATTAAGTCTGCATCATATTGCTCACGATATTCTTGCGTATTCGGCGCTCGGTACACATATCTATAAAATGTGTATCCATATATATAGGGCTGCGAAATCGCGACATCATGTTAGAATTGCCTTCGTCGATGCTCGTGTCATTCATTATATACACATAATTTTGATGTGTAGCTTGTATATTCGCTGATGCGTCGATTGTGAAGTTGAACAAAGTTGTACGCGCGCCTACTGGATTCACCTTCCAATCATACGCACATTCAAGTTCAGCCAGCACGCATCATCAAAATGTATACCCTGTTAGAAATGGTTGAATTAAAATGGATTCGCAAAGGGATATTTTTCTGTAGATAATGAACATATAATTTTTAAAATCAAATTTTAGTTTTGAATCTACTAATCTTCATTCTATTTGCATGTAAAACAGTTTAGATTGAATGTAAAAGATCGATAAAGAAATTAAATATTCTTATTTTTAAAATAGAAATATTACTTTAATAATTAATTTAATATTATATAATTTAGTTCATTTAATATAAAACTTTAATATTTAATTTAAATAAGTTAGAATTTGATTTCCTTTAAAATTTAAATTGCCAAGAAATAAAATGTGCATTTAGAAAGGAGAAAAAAACTTAAAAATTCTAGACGTAACTTAAGAATTCCATATATCCGATTTTTATAAAATAACTTATTATTTTATTAAACATTTTTAATTTGACAGAAAAAAACATTTCTCTGTCGATTCTTTTTAATTTTCCTATTTTACGCAGGGTGCATAAAAACGGCTCGAAATGCAGTTCTCACGTTGCAAGCCGCATTCATCTCATCCATCTTACATTTGAATGCGTTGAAAAACTTTTCTCACCGATATGTAATCTCTCTAATATGAACACCATCGCAATTACTTTACTGTTATCGAAATCTACTGCTCTATTCATCTCATCGCATGTTTTAAATCTTATAAAGCTCGCTGACTTTTCTTCTGATTGATCAATTTTAATAATAAACATTTTAATAATAAACGAATAACACAGTTGACTATCTCGTCAGCATGAATCTTTACAGACTTTAATAATCCAAGAATTGTAAATACATATATATATATATTATGCGATTTTTCTGCTTATAGCCAGAATGAAACGACGATAATAGTAACACATGATTTTTATTTCGTATCAGAATAATGCGAAATTTGCAATCATAAATGCAATATATCTGAAAATTGCTACTAGTTATAAACACATACCAACTCAGTTGTACTATACCGCTGTATATTAGCATAGGAACAAATCTATAATTTTTAATAACGTATATAGCTGCGTATATATGATAGGTAAAATTAACTTATTGATCAAGAGAATTCATTTAATTTATTGATTCTCTCTTCTGTTTGCACAGTTAAAGTTAGTGCGATCAATATCACAGAGAATCTTCTCTTCGCCATTTTCGGCAAAAAAGATACCGACGACTTTACAATTTCGTTGAAAAGGAATCAGCAGCCAAGGTGGACGGTTTATTTCTTCAAGGTGAGGAACCAACATTATATTACACATTATCTGTCGAATGTATCCATATATGTATGTAACAAATAATTATTTTCGCCTTCATAGATATCATTCTCCTTATATATGCTCGTTAGCGTCATAGTGATGATTAACTTATTAATTGCTATGATGAGCGACACGTATCACAAAGTGATATCGCAGAGTGATATCGAATGGAAGTATGGTCTCAGCAAACTAATACGTAAGATGCAAAAGTAAGTAGATAAGTTTTTACATTTTCATAAAATTTCTTGCTCTCCCTCTCTTCAAATTTTAAATTTTAAATTAAATAAAACTTAAGTTTTTTTGTCGTTTCTAATTATATGGCGATAATTAAATTCCTTACTTTCTACTATCATGTAATTCCTTGATCAGAGACAGGAGACTTCCATAGAAAATTTATGATGCGAGACTTTTGATGCGCTTCTGTAAATTTGGAAAAAAAATCTTTATTATATTATCGATCTTGTTTTTTTTTTCAAGAACAAAAACCGCGCCAGCCCCGTTAAATCTCATTACTACATGGACGGAGTATTTGAAGAGTGTCTGTATAAGAAAACGCAATGCAAGGCAAAAGATTGACAGATCTCATGGTTACATGGAACCCGATGTGCATCAAAGAGACTTTCCGAAATATCCACTTTCCAGCGTACGTAGATATCAGATATGCTTGTTGCAGACGTATCGATTCGATTCATAATTATATTTGCCTGTTTAAAATTTTCATATCCGTTTGTGCTTTATTGCAGAAACGGATATGAAAATTTTAATTTCTTCATTATATATTGTAAACATGTGATTCTGCATTATATATATATATATATATATATATATATATAATTATATATATATATAATAATTATATATATATATAATTATTATATATATATATATATATAATTATTATATATATATATAATAATTATATATATATATATAATTATTATATATATATATATATAATTATTATATATATATATAATTATTATATATATATATATATAATAATTATATATATATATATATATATATATATATAATAATTATATATTGTAAACATGTTATAATTTACTAATGTTATCGTATTTATGAGGATACATATTATTACACATGCCAAAGTTTTAATTTCCAGATATTTTCGAAAATTTATTAAATAATTTCAGGTCTTTATATCTGTTCCTCTTTCGTCTTTTTAGAATAACAGAATAATTCCACGAACAAAGGACAGCGTCAATTTTTCATTACTTCAATTAAGTCCGGCCAACAGTCAAAGTTCCTTGAGTAATATTTCGAGGATAGACAACGTCGTCGATTGGGATACAATTCGTCGAAAATATCGCATGCAATTTTGCGGCAAAATCGAGAAATCGTCCGATGGGGTGGCAAAGCTTGCTAGAATGGCTTAACTAAATAAAATCTATGCAACATATATATGTGTGCAATATATAGGCGTCGTTTTTTTTATTATTACCTCCTAGATATCGTAATCATATTTGTGTAATAGATACATATATATGTATATATAAGTAAAATACTTTCTATACTCTTTTGTACGTTTCTCTGCGATATTGCTATAATTGTAATAAAATATATATACGTGTCATAAGTGGACATGCAAAGTTACGTTATCTAAATGTCCACCGACTTCCTTTTATATCTCGCCTTTTCCAAACAGCGGTTCTGCGTTGGTTTCCAGGTAAAAAGTACCCCGAGCTTTAGTATTGACAAATTCTCCCATCACAGTAGAATTATTGCTGCATTTACCAAGCTGAAAATCTATCCAATTGGCGCACCGTAGAGCGGGAAAGCCGTCAGGATGCACGATAGACTCGGCAAAAAATTCATGCGATCTACTGTGACTACAGGTTTCTAAAAATAGAAATTGGATCAGTTCTGTCACATATTATACAGCTTAAATATAGGCTACGAATATGTTATATACGACGTACGGGCTGAAAGTACTGGACATCCGGGTTGTCTGAATGTTCCTCCGTTCGGATAGAAATCCACGTGGCCGATGGGTCTGAGGATGCCGAGACTACCGGCACAGGTGTGTATGATGTCGACGAAATCGGCGTCTGTGGAATCTAGCCGCTCAGCCGCGTCTTTCAGATAAGGTGTCTCGAAGGCTGGTCCAGCTGGATCAAGTCCGGTGATGCGACCGAGTCTTCCCCGCATATAATTACCAACGTACCCGGCTACATGGGCACCCAAACTATGCCCCAGTACATGGATATCACTGTAGGAAACTTGAACCTCCGATCCGAGAAATTTTATAAACGCAGCTATGTATTCTCCTACCTGTAAACACACAAATCTTGTGTATATATATGTGCAATTTCTTGTAAAAAGTTGATATATTAGAATAACTCGAGTTAAGGAATTTCCAGAATTTTGCCATGTATCAATTTTTGTTTTAATATAAATTTTTAATATAAATTTATAAATTAATTATGAATTAATTGTGAATTAATCTATCAATAGTACTTATAATCTGTACATTAAAAAAATTGTCTCTATTCCAATACGTGATTGATACAAATTTTGCGATTATGCAGCATCGTTAAAATATATTATAATTTAAAAAATTTTTTAAATATACTATAATTTTAAAAATTCTTTTCATTAACTGATCTGTTAATTTTTTTTGTAAGATACGCGAAAATATCGCTCACCAGACGAGTAATTTTGGCAGACGTTAGATATTCCTTGGTTGAACCAGCGAACCAATTTACGCAGATTACATTGTAATCTCCGATACTAAGATAATTTTGTCGAATGTTATTTATCCAGAAAGTATTTCCGCTCTCTGCCCATCCGTGAATAATGATCTTGGTTGGCCATGTAGAGTTAAACGGCGATTCTTTCAGTTGTGCACTATCACCCACTCGTAGAGAAACAGATTGCTCTTTATTATCTTTGGTGTAAAGCTCATAATTTATATTCTCCGCTTTCAAATCCGAATCAATGATGCTGCCAATCACCGCGTGATCATTCGAAATGACCGGTGTCGGGTTCAGGAAGATCTCCAGGAGACCTTCCTCGGGACGGAAGTCTTGAAAGTTTTGAATCGATGGTCGATGATTTGGTAAATCAACTGAATTAATAGGTACATCTAAAAAACATGATTGAAAAATAATGAAAATGTGGACGACACTCTCACCTTAATTTGTAAGTAAATCATTATATTTTCGATTAGAAAATTGAAACTAGATATGGAAAAAAATCAGATTACTTAGGAGCAAAGATATGAAGAACGTTGCAATAAGAAACATTGTACTATTTTTTGACATTATTGCGTTGCGAAATTTTTCTTATATACCTTGATGTTACATCAGCGGAAACCTTATATCGTTTGATCCATTACATCTTATTATGCCGAACAAGAAATACATAATGAGGATGCTCCACGAACTTCCGGCGTTTGTTTACTCTATACTTAAATGTATCGAAACAATATATGCCACATATGGAAATTGATATAGTTTCATTTACTATCTTACATTTCAGGATCAGCCAAATATAAATACAAAATACAATTATATTTGTGCAAAAATATTTTATTAATAGTAAAAGAGAAACAAAGTATAAAAATATTCGAGTTGTATTAGACACTTATCATTTAACTTATATTTTAATGTTAGGCAATTGTCATTTGATTTTTTTTGATGGCAAAACTCCCATTTTGGCATACATCATAATGAAATATCCTTAATGCTGCTTATGTAAAAAACGTCGTTTTATTTAATTTTCTTTGCATTAGAAAAAGTAATATTTAATATAAAGTTAATATTCATAGATAATTATATGTAATAAACAAATATTATCAATATAAAGACTTTATTTTACAATCTATTTATCTGTGACCCAGTGAGAAATGATAGGAAAGATGGCTACTAGACAACTATAAATGTATAATAGACATTTAATAGACCTATCTTTGATCTGTATTTCTTACTGGAGGAGGAGAACCTTATTATTATACTTTTTTCAGCATACAGAGCATGTATTAAAAAAACATCTAAAATTATCAAAATTATAAAGATAGAAAATTAATACTTAATCTTTGGGAATGTATATGATTGCATACTAAAATTATTAAGAGTATACAACAGTGCAAAATTGCAACATTATTAAGAATTGGATTTTTATGAGAAAAATACTAGGAATCGACTTTCTTTTAGTGAGCCAAGATTTATCTCATATGAATTATCTTATAAATTTTCCTGGCAATTCATTGAAAAATTGTAACATTAAATTGTCATATCCACCAAGTAATAAAAAAATAAGCTTAAAATTCATCAAAAAAATCTTAAAATAATAATATTAACATTATTAAAATAGTATTTTAAGTATTGTTAAGGATTGTTAAGAATTTTATAGTTGCAATTTAATAAACAAGAAGTTAATTTTATACTTTGCTCTTTTGAAGATAGACGATTTCTTTGCCATATCTTATATTTGTAATAACATTCAATCCTAATGCAGCAGCTTCTTCACGTACAAGTTGAAGTTCTTCTTCTGTAAGACCTTCAGGAAGAGAAAGTCTTGATACAGTACTATCACTGATAATGGTTTCGCAAAAATCACGCATGACATTTCGAAATTCGTTAATTTTTTGTTTTTCTCCAGGCTTAAAACAATTTTTCCATAATTTTTTCTCAATTTCCAAATATTGACGCTGTTTCACATTTGTCTGTTTATAAAAAAGATATTAATATATCTTATTTTAACACATATTAGAAGAAACATATTTTGAAAAATCTTCAACTCACTTGCTGAATTACTTTTCCAATTTCTTCATTACTTGGTTCCAATGTATAAGCTTTTCGCAATTTCTTCATTGCTTCATCATATTCTCCAAGATTCAATAAAGCTTTTCCAAAACTAGAAGAAAAAATGATTTCAATCATGATATTAATTTAATATACGATTAATTCATAAATATTACATCAATTAACATATTCCCATACTTGTAATAGCTTTTAGCTGTTGGTATTGGTACTCGTCCACAAGCCATACAGGCAAGACGTGGTAAGTCTATTTTGTTATAGCATATTCCAAGATTGCTATAAGCCCTTGAAAGTAATTCATTCATTTCTTCTTCTTCTGAATTATCTTTCAATTGTACATTTTCTAAGCAGTCAATAATTCTTTTATATCTACAAAAAAAATATATTATACACATATGACCATATTACATTTATACAAAAGTCTTTAATATAATGTTATTTACTCTCGTATTGCCCGTTTGAAATTAAGCTTTCTACAAGTATCCTTAGCAGCCACAAACATATGTAACATTGGCTCTTTTATATGTCTAAAAGACTGCTTTTCTTCTGTTTGAAGATTTTGATAAGTATCTGCAGAACCATCATCAAGGTAATCAATTAAGTGAACTACAAATACCACTTCCTCATTGGGTGGAATACGTGGTGGACATCCAAAAGCTTTATAAGCAAGATCGGGATGTATCAAAAATATTGCTATTTCATGCTTCTGCATAGTACTGATGCCGATCTCTAAACCAGGTATAATGTATCCTTGGCCTAAACGCAGTGTGCTTGGTTTTCCAGAAGAATAAGTTGAATCGAAAGGTTCATCTCTGTCTTCAAAATATCCAATGTAATGAAAGGTAATTTAACCATTAGCAGGAACAACTTCTCCAACACCTTTTTGCTTCACATATTTCATGACCTAACGTAACATAATTTCATAAGTAAAATTGTTTACATTTTAAAACATGCAAAAAGGTTACGTTTCACTTTGATTTTTTAAAAAATATTTTTGCAAGTTTTATCTAGTTTTATTTAATTTTATTTACGTATTTTCAATATATCAAAAATATTATATATCTCCTCTTATTATTCTCTTATTATTCTCTTTTCTAAAGAAAATAATTTCTAAAGAGAATAATTTATAAATAATAATAAAATAATAATAATAATAAAATAATAAAATCTGATTTACTTTTTGATCTATAGTCAAACTTGTCATCTTTGCTTTTAACTTTTCGAAGCTCATACCGTAAAGGGATACGGATCCTTTCTCATCATCTCCATCATTTTCATCTTCGAAACCATTCATGTTTAACATGTTTAACATCTCCTCATTGCTGAAATGTACGAATGGAGAAAATGAAAATTCTTCGTCGTCATTGTCTTCTCCAATATAATCCTCTCCAATTTCAAAGGTAACCCCCTCTTCGCCTATCAAATCTCTGAAAAGAACGATACAAATATAAAAATTATAAATATAAAAATTAGCATGTAACGACCATGCAAGTTTATTATTAATTAATCAGTTTTAACGTACTCGAGCCTGAATCCAGCTGCAGGATCTGATATGTGCTTTGCCATTTTAATAAATTGATTCCTCGGAGAAAGAGATATTCTTTATCTTGTATTTTTCAATTCACTTTTGCTTCCTAAATCTCTTGTCCGGAACAC